ATTATCCTGTATTTTATAGCTAATATCTACTTAGTACATACCATGTTTTTTTCCTGGGTCTGAGTTACTTTATTCAGGCTATTTACCTGCAAATTTCATGACTTCATGGTTTTTAATAGCTTAGTAGTAGTCTATCATGTAAATGTACCATATTTTCTTTATCCATTCTTCAGTTGACGGTCATCTAGGTTGTCAATCAGTTTCTGGATATTACAAATAAAGCTGCTATGAACATAGTTGAGTAAGTGTCCCTGTGGCACACTGGAGCATCTTTTGTGTATATGCCTAGGAGTGGAACAAGTAGATCTTGAGGTAGGACTATTCCAATTTTCTGAGAAACCACTAAATTGATTTCAAAAGTGGTTGTAGAAGTTTGCACTGCAACCAGCAATGGTGGAGTGTTTCCCTTGCTTTACATCCTGTTGTTTGGAGTTTTGATATTAGCCATTCTGACAGGTATAAGATTGAATTTCAAAGTTGTCTTGATTTGCATTTACCAAATGACTAATTATGGTCAACATTTCTTTCAGTACTTTTCAGACATTACAGTTTTCTCTGTTGAAGTTCTCTTGTTTAGTTTTGTGCTTCATTATTAAGTTGGGTCTAGTTTCTTGCTTTCTTTATATATTTTGGATATAGCATTGGTGAAGATCATTTCCAAATCTGTAGGCTCATATTTTTTTTTTATCTGATTGATGGTATCCTTTGCCTTTCAAGAGCTTTTCTGTTTCATGAGGTCCCACTTATTAATTATTGATCTTAGTGCCTGATCTGTTTGTGTTCTATTCAGGAAATTGTCTCCTTTACCAATGTGTTTAAGGCTATTTCTCACTTTGTTTTCTATCAGATTTAGTATATCTGGTTTTAAGTTGAGGTCTTTGATCAGCTTGGACTTGAGTTTTTTGCAGGGTTACAGATATGGATCTGTTTGCATTCTTCTGTATCTTCATTTCTCAACCTGAACTCAAATTTTTCTACATGCAGACATCCAATTAGACCAGCACATCATTTCTTGAATATGCTTTATTTTTTCCATTGTATAGTTTTGGTTTCTTTGTCAAAAAGAAGTGGCCATAGGTACATAGGTTTATTTCAGGATCTTCAGTTTAATTCCATTGATCAACCTGTCTAAACCTATGCCAATAACATGTAGGTTTTATTACTATTCCTCTGTAGTCCATTTTGAGGCCAGGGAAGATGATGCCTTCAGAACTTTTTTTTAACTGTAATTTAGCTATTGTGAGTTTTTCCTTTTCCATATGACATTGAAAATTAGTCTTCCAAGCTCTGCAAAGAATTGCATTGGAATCTTGATGGGAACTCCACTGAATCTGTAGATTGCTTTCAGTAAAATGAACATTTTTACCATGTTAATCCTACTGCTCCAGGAACACAGGAGATCTTTCCATCTTCTGATAGCTTCTTCAGTTTCTTTTTTCAAAGACTTAAAGCCTTTATTATACAGTTATTTCACTTGCTTAGGTAGTTACACCAAAATATTTTATATTATTTGTGACTAATGTATTCTGTTGTTGATCCATGCATCTGTAGTTCCTGTTCATTTAACTATCTCCAGGATTTCCTCAATTTGTGTTTCATTATTTTTTTATTTACATTTTGAAGTCTTGAGCTGTTTTATTATATTCTTAAGTGATTTACTCATTTCTTCTTTAAAGGTCTCTATCATCTTCGTAAGATCGGATTTAAGGTCATTTGTGTGTGTGTGCGCGTGCGCGCGTGCTTCAGCTGTGTTAGAATATCCAGGGCTTGCTGTAGTATGCTAGGTGGGCTCTGGTAATGCCACATTGCCCTGGTTCTTTTTAATAGTGTTTATAAGCTGACCTTTAGCTTTCTAGTTGTCCCTAATGCTGGCATGGCTCTGGGAATGCAGGCAGAGTTCTGCACCAGAAAATAAAGTGCAGTTCACAGCTTCTGGATGTGCCCTAAGGGTACCTGACAGGGTACCCAAGTACTGTCAAGTCCCAGGGAATGCAGGCAGACCCATTGGTTGGAAAATGGAACTTAAGGGACAGGCATAGCTCATGCCTACTGAATGTACCTCAGGGGAACCAGGCAGGGAGGGCATTGTGGGACAGTGACATTCTCCTAGTTGTCCCTGGAGCCAGCAGACTTCCAGGAATGCAGAGAGAGAGAGAGAGAGAGAGAGAGAGAGAGAGAGAGAGAGAGAGAGAGAGAGAGAGAGACAGAGACAGAGACAGAGACAGAGAGACAGAGAGATGTGGGCTAGAAGTGGGGCATGCAGAAAACAGTGCACAACTCATACCTGTTTGGCTTGCTCTGGGGGTGGCCCAGCAATCAGGGGATAGGGTATTTCACCTGATTGTCCCTGGTACAATCAGGTCTGAGGGAATGAAGACAGTTATGTGTCCGAAAATGCGGTACACAGGGGGAAGGGCACAGCTCACTACTGCTGGGCTTGCCCCAGGGATATCAGGCTTATATTTGAAAGTTTTGATGCCCATCATGAATCAAATAAAGTTTTGGAGTCGTCTTGGTTTGAAGTTCATAAAACTTACCAAGAACGTCCTTATTTTCTGTTTCAGCATCTCAGAAAATTTCCCCTTAGCTCAAAATTTTATGGGAAGTCATTTTAAAGCAATAATATTAAATGTAGATATATATGTATGAATATCTTCATTATGTATCTCTTGAAATATTTAAATCAACTTCTATATAATTCATGTATCCTCTCTTCCATATAATTCTTAGATATACAAAAACATAAAACTGTGAAAATTTCATAAACAATTTAAAATAATTTTCTACTTATGACTTCTAGGTTAATAAGTACTGTTCTAAAGGAACATGAGCTCATCTATGCTTAGCACAACTCTATTCCATCATTGGAGTTAGAAGGAGTGGATTCCAACACTGTTGTCATCCATGGATCCAAGTTAAATACTCAGAGTCGGCAGAGCTAAGTCTGTTGTTTGCTATTACACGAACCAGATCAGTGATGACCTCAGAACAGGACAGTTGCCTCTTCTCTCTTTGTGTTGTAGCACACAATTAGCTACTGAGTGGCAACAAATGAGCTTTAAATGGTTTTATGAGGCAAAAAACAAAGTTCTTTCTTTGGAAACTACTAAAAATATTGTAATAAAAGGTTTCGTTCATGGTAGGCAAATAAAAGTTTAGCTGTTGAACCAAAACAAATATAGTTGTCTGGCCTTTGTCTTTGTCATAGTTTTAGTTTCAGTGGTAGCCTCTGCTCAAACTGTCTATTCACATTATATCACCATAATTTTTCTACCACTTTATTCTGTATTGAATTACTTTAGCTTAAAACCAAATTAAAATACTTCATGAAAAAAAAAATGAGAAATGGTTCCTGGCTTCCATTTTCTTTGATTAAAATATAGGTATGCAAATTCGCCTGTGTGATTGCAAAGCTACAAGGAAAGCGATATTCATATTCTATCAACTGTACTACTTTGTCACTGATATGGAAATATTCAGTCTAGACCAGAAATAAAAGGAAATATTCTTGTCATAGTTGCTGTGCAGGACTGTCCACTATGCAAATCACTGGACTATTCACTGGATTAACTCTGTCTTTGGTTGATTGCTGATTTTCCCTTACAAAAGGTGATCAGAGAGGGTCATGGAACCATCATCCAAATATCTAGTCACTGCTAACAGCTGTAGCAATTCTTCCCTCTTTGTGGCCTCATGGAGGAGCTAGAGTACCTAGGCAGGGAAGAAATAGCTGTGTGAGATCCATCTATGTAACAATGAACTCATCACCTGTTCCGGGTAGACCTTCCAGCATGGCTGCTTTAATACCTACCATGTCCTACCTTAACTCCTCATCCACTGCTCGATGTGAAGCCGAGTCATGTCATGGATTTCCCCCAGGTGAACTTTGGTGGGATGATACCTTGTTTTTAACTGGGACAATAGGGATGGAGGTAGATGTTATTTCCATCTCTGGCAGAAAGAGATTTAAACAGTAATGGCAAAACTTGGAATTGCTATTAAGAAGTTCCTAGATTAAGTGCATATAAAATTTGATCTTATAAAAATTATTTTCAAAGAGAAGGTTATTAAAATGTGTTGATGGAAATATCAAATATAATGAAAGTTTGCAGAATAATATTTTGTGATCAATATTGAAGTGATTTTGAAGTCAATGCTTGAATTATGATGTTATAAAAAGTAAACAGATATTGGTTTGTTTTTCTGTTTATTTCCAACTTTCTTAGAACTGAATCTATGAAAAACATCTTTATATAAAATGACTATACCGTCATAATTTAGATAAAGTTAAGTAGCCAAGAACGATATTTTAAAAATTTTTAAAAATGTATTAGTTTTTATTGTAGATAATTCAATTATCTGAATTACACTGTAGCAAATATCATATTATGAATTGCAACAGGAAAAGTACTGTGTCATAGAATAAACTGTTATCATGCTATATTTATACTTAAATTAACACAATAAATTAAGAAAAATAAAGTAAAACTGAAGTAATAATCTTTTAAAATAATACTTCTCTTAGAGTTTTCATTGCTATTAAGAGATACCATGACCAAGGAAATTCTTACAAAGGTGAATATTTAATTGACGCTTGTTTACAGTTTCAGAGGTTCAGTCCATTATTATTGTAGTTCGAAACAAGTCATGAAGACTTGGTGCTAGAGGAGCCAAGAGTTCTACATCTTGATTCAAAGGTAACCAGGAAGAGACTGTCTTTTAAAGGCAGCCAGGACAAGGGTCTGGACCACCCTGGACAGTCTTGAGTATATATATGAGACCTCTAAGCTCAGCCTCCACTGTGACCCACTCCTCTAACAAGGGTACCTTCTCCATTGATGCCACACCTCCTAATTGTGCCACTTCCCTTTGGCCAAGCATATTCTAACAATCACACTCCACTCCCTGGCACCCAAAGACTTGCTCAGACACATGAATCTATGGGGAACCAAGCTTATTGAAATCTCCACAATATTCAATCATTAATAATCCTTTACATTGACCCCTGGCAATGGCCAAAGAGACACCTTGTTGTTGGTATTGTTCTTCCATCATTTAGGGGCAGAGCAGATCGCAGTCCTCTGCTCATCCTAGCTTGATGCCTGGATTTGTGACCAAAGCTGTGTTATGCCTAAGACACATAAACATCAAATCAAGTCCAAGCAGTGCAACACAGAAGGATAAAGACAGACAGAGACCTGTTTGTCATGGCGATGGTGTCTGGTATGGTGTTTTACCATGCCACTCAAGATAGGTAGGGAAAGATATCACAGATGTGCCCTCTGCCTATGGCACAGGTCTCCACCCCGTGGCTCAGGCAGACTATAGACACATGGAACCCTGCCTACTACCACACAGACAGACTTGCTATGCCAGTCACAGACCTGCCCTCCACACACTGCAAAGGCGGGTATTAGACACTCGCAGCCACCACACAGCGTAGATAGAGGATGTCACCCAGGAGCCTGCTAGCTGTGTGGCCAGCCTGCAATGGGAGTCATTACAATGTGGAAGTATCTGGTGGACAGAAAGAGAAGTAGAGAGATGGAACTGGAGACTCGAGGGTGGAGAGGAATAGCCTGTTATGAGTGGCTAGTCTCACCACCTGGGGCCATGGTGAGGTCCAAACCTGAGCCATATCTGGATCTGTAGCTACACAGCAGCAGTGGTCCATGTTGATGTGTGAGGCTAATAATACCACTAGAGAATATGGGGATGTCTCTGGTTAGGGAAGTTATGGATGTCCAGGGGCTGTACAGAAATGGCCCTGCTCATCCCTGGTAGGGGCACTCTGGAGATCTGGCCCCACCTTTCACCAGAGGCAACACTCTGGAGAGTGGGCTCTGAGCCTCACCCAGGCAGTACAGTGGAGTTATCCCTGGTTGCAGGGGTGAGGGTGAGTCAGCCAGAGGGCATACGTGTGGGAGACCTGATCCTAGCAGTCAGGAAAGCTTCCCACAAGGTTATGAGCATGAGAGAGCTGGTCCTACCCATCACCAGCTGCAGCACTTGGGAGAGTGGGCCCCGTACCTCATCTGGACAGCAAAGAAGAGCTGACCTGGTTCTGGAACACTGGTGAGCCTTCCCAGAGGATATGACAGCAAGAGACCTGTCCCTGCCTCCTGCCAATGGTGGCTTTGGAGGACCTAGCTGGAGCAGTCCTGGAAAGCCTGCCCTGGTGGTACAGATAAGAGAGAGCCAGCAGGATGGATTGGCCTATCCCAAAATCTATATCATCTGTGAATGATTGAGATGCATGAAAAGGCCAGTCCTGCTGATTCAAAGCTGCATGATCGCCATGACACAGGGTATCAATAGGATAACTTGGAGAAGTCCTTTGAGAATCCAATATTGATGGTGTCACAGAAAACAGAGACCTTGAACCAGATCAATGACTCATTACAATAAACATTCGTAAATGAAGTCATATGGATAGAGGGATATACTATGGGATACATTATGACATACTACGCTTCCATGATGAAAAGTTGTTCTATGCTTTGTGTGTGTGTTAGTGTGTGTGTGTGTGTGTGTGTGTGTATGTGATTTATTTGCATGGAGGTTGTAAAAGTGAAGGACAAAGATGAAGAAATGGAGAGATGAGCAGGACTGAGGTATATGATGTGAAACTCACAGAGAATCAATAAAAAGTTAAAAAAGATAATCCTTTACATTGAACCATTTGAAAGTTTATAAATGCAATGTTTTCACTTTATAAACAGTATTTCCATGTGTTGGATCAAGTATTGAAGTATTTGATTCATCTCTTTGTCTTTTTCTTCTGTGAGTTGCTTAACTATAGATATAATCATTGTTTTGAATTCTTGGGGAATTCTTCCTTCTCATTTTCAATAGGACCCATTACTATGGGATTTTCATGTTTTTAGGAAAGAGATGTTATTTGGAGTTTTGTTTTGTTTTATTTTATTTTTTTAATGTATGGATTCTTGCCCTGGGATTGGACTTAGTTTTTGGATATTTTGTGTTGTTTCTTTTTTTCTTTCTTTCTTTGTTCAAGTTGCATTTTTTCTGTCTGCAGATGTGTTTACAGTGTTCAGGATGGAGCTGCTCCATAGCAGTGCTGAGATACTCACTTTTCTCGATTTGTCTGGTACTCAGAAATATCAGTTCTACCCATGTCTTCAGTTTTTTTCACTGCAGTATGTGTCTTCAGAATTTTGATCAAGATGCCTAAAACAAATTTGTCCTGGCATTGTGGAGTAGTCCAGGGTCCCAATGCTAGATAGGGTAATTGGAATGTGCCAGTCAAGCAGTTGGCAAGGCTATGGGACTCTGCGTCAACCATGATGGCTGGAAGGTACTTGATATGATCAGGCTGAGACCTGATGAACCATAGATGAAAGGAGACAGGTAAAGAATTGTGGGGATGTGAGTGAATCTGTTTAGAGGAGCAAGTGGGATGGAGAGTAAAGCTCGTGGACTCCTGCACCTCCTTGAGGAGTCTTGATTCAGCCATACATTGCATATGATCTAAGGTGGCTCCTGGCAAACCAGCAGAACAAAAGACCTGAACCCAAGGCAATAAGTACCCAATTCCCTCCAAAAAGGGGGAGATGGGCAAGAGGAGAGGTCTGTCTCTGGAAATCAGCCCCAGGGTCTGGGATCTTGGTGACTGGAATGGACAGCCATGTTTATTTTCACTTTGATTTTCAACTGTTATTCTCACATTTCTGTATTTAAATCAGCCCATGATTTATAGGCTGTGTCTCTGTCATACTTTATCAATTTCTCATTTTGTCATCTTTTGTTTGGCTGGTATTCCTTCCTCTCAAGTATACTTTGGTACCCAAATGTTGGAGAAATTTATGACTTCTTAGAAATATCTAGGTTTTGCTGTAAGATACCTTGGGAAGTCTAAACTGTTGTGTTTCTTAGAACTTTGAAGGTATCATTCACTGTCATTTGGGGTTATGTTGCCTTCATCTCATTCACAGCCAGTACTGCTTTTCTTCTGTGTACAGAACTTGCCTTCCTTGTCATGTACTCATTGTCATGACCATCAGTCACATTGCAATGATTTTAGAAAACACTATAGATCAAGTGGCTTAAGCAGCAGATGTTTGCTTTTCTCAGTAGGACTAGTGCAAAATCTAAGAGATGACGTTAGAAGTGGTGCTGAGTGTCTTCATTGGATACTCTTGAATTTGTAAATGGCTTCTATCTCTTTGTAACTTCACAGGGTAGATAGAAAGCAAAGAGAAACAAAGAAAGTCTGGCTATGTCTTCTTTTAAGTGCTACTCTATGGTTTAGAACTTCACCATCATTATCAGCTCACCTTCCATAGTGCCATGAACATAAAGTTTTGAGACTGACACATTAAGAATATAGGACACAAACTATTTCTGCAGAATTGTAGAAATAAAATAATTCCTGCTAATGCACACCACGATTCTACTTTTAATTTTCTGAGCTGCTGTATACCATTTTAATTTGTATATTTCAGTTTTTTCTCCTTTCTATGACACTTACCTACAATATTGCTTTATAATATTGTTTTCTTTGTGGAAAATCCATCTTCAAAACACCACTTAGGAGTACACAAGATTTCCTTCTCTTTCACATCATTGAGAACTCTAGACAACAGCAGTTCATTTCTGGTTCTTTATTATTACTTCTAATATGAATTTCATCTTTATTAAAGTTTGCTCTTCTTTTGTATTTCCTCTAAGACTTATGACAGCTCTGTGTTTTTGCCTCACCCATTCCTTATTTATTCATTTTAGGATTCATAGGTCTGTCCTGTATCTATTCTAGTGTCAATATGGTGTTTGTATTCCTTTGAAAACTAGCAGGCTGAGAGCTTTTGAGACACAAGCATGCATGTCATGGTACTCAGTAGGTTTCGTTATAGTTTGACGTTTTGGAAATGTCCTTGCTTTTCCTCTATTTTAACAGTGTGTTTTTTTTTTCCAAGAAGAATGGAATTTAAAGATGCTTTTCAGCTATTTAAACTGAAACCTTACAAAGAGGTTGAAGTCCAAAGATATGCACTGTTCTATGCCTGTAGTAATGTCAAAGATAACCACTGGGTAGGAGTGGTCTCTTGAGAGTAGGAATGGTAAAATGCTTAGAAGAGACCAATGGTAGACATTTAGAACAAATGATTATTCTTCTAATTCATCCAACCATACCTGTCTCAGAAATATGAAGTTGTAGAAAGATGGAATCATTGGCCCACACACATGATTGAAACACATCAGGATTAAACATTATAGGAGTGGTTTCAAAAAACATGTCCTTTGTTCACAGCAGAAGAGAAATATGACAAGTTAAATTCTAGGGACTTAATGGCGTAGCTAAAATATTGGATTGGTTTGGGCCAATTTAGCAGAGAGGATTGAGATGTGATAAATGTTGCCAGAGGGCCTGAGTTTAGTCTTTTTTTCCACATATTGAGTAATATTATAATGTGAAGTGTTTACCTTCTACTAAACCTTCGTTTCTTTTGGAGAATATTCAAAATGGATCTCATAAATAGGACATGATCTCTGATATTACTATACATGCAGATATGAATCAATATATGAACCTTAAATAAATATATTTATTCTTGGTCACATTTTTTTAAAGGGAAAGAAAAATATTGAGTGGTCAGGAAGACAGAAATTAACAGCTGTACTGGATCTCACAAAGCCAACTGGTCACAAGATGTATACTTTCTGAGGATTTTTTATTTCAATTTTTTAAAATAACAAATCATATTAGGAACCCTTGTGGGAGGAGTGCAATCTCGTAGGATAATGTGACAGCTGAAAACATAATCTTGTAGAATAGAGAGATGGTTGACAGCATAGACTGAACTTTACATGTTTCAAGATGAGTCACATCTGACATAAAGAAGTCCATTGCACTTTCTGTAATTTCACCTGTATCTACTAAATAGTAGGTGCACAATGTTAACAGCAGCAAGCTACTATATGACTTAATCCATATCTATACTGATATCACCTGTCACATCCTACTTATGAGACACTCTTTGAACATTCCTCACAGGGAAGCTAAGGTTCAGTAAAATATAAATACTTCACACTATAATACTCCTTAGTACATTGAGATAAGACTGAATTCAGGCTGTCTGGCTGCAAAATACATATGATTACTGACAATGAAAAGACAGAAGGA